GACACGTCGTTCTGTCAGACTCAAATACGTGGCAGTATGATGATGTGACAACTGATGTGTCATTTCAACGGTTATTTTTTTATGACGTGGTGGATGAAGTGGCACTCCAATGGTCGAATATGATGATATGGCGATGACGTTTCACCCAATGGATATTTGCTGATGTGGCAATGACAGATGTCGTGGACCAATCAATGGTGTGACACGGGCCTATTTAAATGGGTAAATTTGAATTTGTTAATATATTAATAAATTTAAATAATATTAATTTTAGTCTAATGAATGCGTGCCACGTGGCATTGAATAACTGTCAACTGTAGATTATTTTAATATTATTTATTCCATCCAATCAGATGCTAAAACGTGGCAGCCAATGGCTAGTCTTTGGTTTCTAAGTCTTTTAAAGCCCAAAAAAAAAAAAATTACCGGAAAATTCTCAAAGATTCATACTATTGAGTTGAAACTTTTGGGAGCCTTTTTTAATATCTTTGAGAGCCTTTAGGTATTGTGTGGTTCTATCTTCTTATCTACTTTTTGTGAAAGTAGATGAATCTTTATTTCCACACTTATTAGGGTTTCATTCCTCAGTCCAATAAAAAGAACGGAGTGTGGATTTTGAGTTTTGTCTAAAAAAAAGTTTGGTTTAGTTCTAGATCCCGTAAAAAGAATGGTTTGTAAGGTTTGGTCTTGATCCCGTAAAAGGACCAAGTTTACGATCTTGAACCCGTAAAATGATTGTGTTTAGTTAAAAATCTTAAGAAATGCTTGGGGAGTGGAGTAGGATAGGGGTTGGCCAAACCACTATAAATTAAATCTTTTGTGTAATATTTTCTCTATCCATATACTTTTTATTTATTGCAATTTATTTCTCAAACATTTCTTTTATTGCAAATATATGTTGTGCTCATCTTGAATATTAGTTTTATGATATGTTGGGTTGCTATAAATTGTCCTTAAATTGTTTTGTCTTACAATATTTACTTAGTTATTTGATTTGTGCTTAAAAAAAAATAATTTAGTAAATTCATCTTCAACACTATTCACTCCCCCTCTAGGGTTATCATACCGATCCAACAAACTCATCCTACTGCCATCTTATGACTAAGATCACTTTAAAAGGTAACTATAAATTCAATATTAAAGTTGTTACTAACTTGAATTCATTTTGTGTAGATTTTTAGGACGCCAAAGGATAAGATTGAGCCAAATGAAGGGAATTATGGAGCAAACGCCAAACCTATCTAAGCTTGAAAATTTTAGATCGAACCCTAAAGGAAATGAGATTTCTAATATATCTAGAATTCTACCTTGAGTTTGATCCAAAGAAGAGAGTTCCTTTCAAAATGTTAACTATAATGCATGATGATGACTACAAAATAGCACTTCGTGATGAGTATATTATGGGTTGTTTTATTTTATAACTAATTAGATTATTTTTCTTAATATGTGTTAGGATTGGTGGAGCCAAATCAACGTTGGATCAAGTCGGGACAAGTCTGGATGAAGAAAGATGAAAACATATGAAGAAGTGGAGTTGCAGGCCAAGAAGGCCGAGGAGGCAACACCGCGGCACTATTGCAGGGTGCCGCGACGCTATCACGATGGGGTGCGCAAACGATTTTTTCGTCCATAGCGCCATACTGCTGTAACGATGTTTTATAAATACAGTAGCTTCGGTTTTAGGGTTCTTAATCCGTTTTAAGTCTTTTTCAGAGTAGTTTTGTGGCAGATTGCAGATAGAGGCTCGGGGTATTGGCAGCACACAAAAAGGGTAGATCAAGATTATTGTTTGGGGCAATTATATCTTGATTCTTTGTAAGTTCTTTCATTCTTGTACCAAAGTATTAGAAGCTAGGAGGCTTTTGTTGGGACCTCTAGAGGGTGAATATCGAGGTGAGATATTGTAAGTGCTTGTATCCAGTTTTCTTATTAGTGGAAACCGCATCTGAGTGGAAGACTGGACGTAGCTCATAATCTGTTGGGGTGAACTAGTATAAATTCTTGTGTCATTTATTGATTTCCCTTTAATCACTTATTTGTGTTGTGTGATTGTGATTTACTAGATATAACTATGGCAGAAAAATTGTTTGAAGTGCCTTAATTTCCGAACAAGTAGTATCAGAGCTGTAGGTTGCAATATTATGAGATCCAGTCCGAAGTCACATCACTACTTCGAGGGTGTATTGAAATTTGATTGGAGGAAATTTAGGTTTCAGAATATGCAAGTGACAGATCTTCTTACATTCAAGAAGATACAAAAAAAACCCTAAAAGAACGACCAACCACTGAGATAACAGATAAATAGTGGACAGAGATGGATCAGCAAGCACTAGCAATCATCAAGTTGTGTTTGATGATGAACGTGGTGAGTCTCGTGGCAAGCCAAAAAACAACAATGAGACTGATGAAGGCTTTGACTAACAGGTATGAAAAAACGTTCTGCCAATAGTAAAGTGTATCTCATCACGAGATACTTCAACACTCACATGTAGGAGGAGACCTTAGTGAACTCCCACATTAATGAAGTGACTGATCTGATAAATAAGTTGGAATCGATATTGATTAATTTTCCAAAGGAAGTGAAGCCTATAAAGTTGTGGTCCTCTTTGCCTGACAGTTGGGAGACGATGAAGACGGCCGTGTCGAATTCGTTGGAGGACAACAGTCTGAAATTTTTAGAAATTTGTAACGCTGCAATTGATGAGAATGTTTGCAGAAAAGAGAGTGGGAAGAATTCTGCATCTATTTTCGGAGGGGAGAATGGTCTAGAATCAGAATTGGTAGCTAACTGTTGGAGCAAAGGAAAGATGATCTATAAGGGAAAGAAGCATTATAGTAGTTAGAGATGTGAAGTATTTTTATTGTCACAAGAAGGGACATATCAAGCGTTTTTGCAGGAAACTAAAGGAGAATCAACAAGAGCTAATTATGATAATGTTGTAAAAAAAGTAAAAGAGTTTTTGGCCTGCGTTGAGAGCAACAGAGTAGACCGATCATTAGAGTGGGTTGTGGACACTACAACATCAGCACATGTTTCATCAGACAGAAAATGGTTCACATCTTTCACTTGTCATCATGGCGAGGTAAGGATGAGGAATGCGAGTATCTCCAAAGTTAGAGGAAGTGGTGATGTCTGTTTGAAGACCGACAGAGGGACCGAGTTGGTGTTGCGAGCTTTCAAGTATGTTATAGGTTTCATATTAAATTTGTTATCTACTAGGAAACTGCCTAATGATGGTTACAAGATTTAGTTAGCAGAGGGTAGTTGGAAACTTCTGAGGGTATTCAAGGTGGTGGCAATTGGGTTACAAAGAAGCTTCAGTTTATGTGTCTAGATTAACGTTGTAAGGGGATCATAGAGACAGAGGATGCACAGGGCTACATATGTCTAAGGGCGAGACTTGAAGGAATCAACAGCAATGACAACTAAGATAGAATAAGTAATTATGCCCTCAGTTCAAGTACAACAGCTGGAATATAAAGGAAAGGAAAAGGGGAATAGCTCATTGAGCTGTTCAACAAGTGGTCAGTTTTGAGTCCTAGTTCTCAAACGGTTTAGCGAACTGATGAAGTCGCATAGGCGAAAGAATGCATCGAGGGAGAAGTCTACAGTGGGTACTAAAGTCAAGGGCGAAGTCTCTAGGGTGGCAATAGACTTGGGTTGGAGTGCCAAGTCATCAAAGAGGAAATCTTCCTTGAGAGGTCCGTGGGTTCGATCGAGGAAGGAAGCATCAGGGACCACTTAGATCGAGTGAGAGCACGTGGCTATGTCTCTAGCGTCTAGTGGACAAGACCACATAGGATTGCTCAATCTCAGAGCAATAATCACAAATTGAGTTTGTATAGGGTCGAGAAAATGAGAGTCAATTACAATTGGTATAGTTAGAACTGAGCCTTGGAAGGGTTGCCAAGATGAGGGACACTGTTGGTGCAGTGGGAGGCGAGGTTGTTGCTTTGTCTCTAAATGGGAGATTAGTGGAGTCATATCGATGTTGGATCGAGTTGTGACGAAAAGGGATGAAAATAGATGAAGAAGCGGGGCTGTARGCAAGGAAGGCCAAGGAGGCAGTGTCAAGCGCTTCTGTACGGCGCCACGACGGTGTCACAATGGGTCGCACAGATGATTTTTCCGTCTGTAGTGCCATGGCACTATAATAATATTCTATAAATACAGCAACTTCAATTTAGGGGTTCTTGAGCTGTTTGAAGTCACTTTCAGAGCAATTTTGTGGTAGATTGCAGATAGAGGCTTAGGGTATAGGCAGCACACAAAGAGGGCAGATCAATGTCATTTTTTGGGGTAATTGTATCTTGATTCTTTGTGAGTTCTTTCATTCCTGTACCTAAGTATAGTGTTAAATACTTAGAAGCAAGAAGGCTTTTGTTGGGACCTCTAGAGGGAAAATATCAGGTGTGAGATATTGTGAGTACTTATATCCAATTCTTTTTATTAGTGGAACTCGAATTAGAGCGGAAGACTGGACGTAGCTCATAATATGTTGGGGTGAACTGGTATAAATTCTTGTGTCATTTATTGCTTTCCCTTTTATCTCTTATTTGTGTTGTGTGAATGTGATTTACTAGATATAATTGTGGAAGAGGAAATTGTTTGAAATGCCTTAATTTTTCAATAGTAGTTGACCATGGACAAAATATGTCAAAGATGAAGGGAAGTATGCGAAACTACTTGTCCAAGAAATTTTTTAAACAAAGCTATGATCGACAACACCAATATTATGTTGGAGAATTCAAATACCAAGCATGGAGTAGAGGACAAATAAATCCAAGTATTTAGAACTCAAACTTACATAGAATCCTTCTCAACTTTAGGTAATTATTATAATTATCAAAATGTCAAAGAAGTGATATAATCCGATGATTAGTAATTTATTAACTAACATGAATATCATAATTAACATGCCCTATATGCTAATCATTTAAAACTAAACATTGGAGAAACGAACAAAAATCTAATCTTTAAATTTCATGAGATAGGGTATCATGCAACAATTTGCATTATGGCACAAAATACATATCGATTCACAAGGCTTTTGTTCGTTTCTTAAGGAAGTTAACTTTAAAACTTAAAGCTCTCACTTTTCAAGTGCAGAACCACCCTTCCCACCATGTTCAACATTTTGATACCTGTACCACTTAGCACAGACTAAATAATAGCCAAAATTAATCACTCCGATTACAGATATCATCCAATAAACATTATCAAGTCTCCCATTGTTGATATCATTCGGCAGCCATTTCGTAACCCTACGAAGCAAATCGATCAAAGCTGTGCTTAAATAGAATGCAATTGAGATCACCATCGAGATCATCGCCGTTGCTGTGCTGCGCAACGACGTCGGGAATTCCTGATAATATAATGCAACTTGTCCAGGGAAATGAAAAGCTTCTCCAATGCCAACCAAAACCAACTGCGGGAAAAGCCACAAGGACAACATTGGCACTATTGCCTCAGTCTGGCCTTCAAGGTGGTGTGCATGGGCAATCTTCAACCTCTTTGATTCTACCACGGCTGACACAACCATCCCAAGAACATTCAAAACGTGGCCGATGCCAACTCGTTGGAGGGGTCTCGACGACCGTCCGATAACCTTCTCCCAAAGAGGGAATAGAAATCGGTCGATTAGGGTTAGAAAGATGGTGGTGGAGATGAAGGCAACGACGAGGAAGGAGCCCGCAGGGATTTTGAAGTTCGGGCCGAGGTGACGGTCCATGGTTAGGGCTTGGAGTATGGTTAAGCTTGCTTGGGTTGTTATGGGGACTGCAAGGAATATGCTGGTTGACCAGAGAGGGAAAATTCTAAGTAGAGTCTTGAAATCTTCTACTTCTTGTACTTTGCACAGCCTCCATGGTTTGGCAACGGAGCCATCCAAATTGACATCTCCTTCTGTTATTAGAGCCGCACAGTTCAAACACCTCCAACAAAGATCCAAGTTGGAAAGACTTTTTGCGTTAGTGAAAAATCATATAGCATATATTATGGTGAAAATGTTTAAACTTTTTGGTTACTAATTATGTAATTTGAGCATTCACCATTGATTTATAATAAAATTAAATTGGAAAAATACTTAGGTGTTGATTGCTTGTCAGAAGTTGAATTATTTCTCTAAGTTTTTTAATTATTATGTTTATATTTAGTTACACTATTAATAAAATGTTAACATGTTATATGTTATATTCATTACATAATGTTGAGCATAGCACAATTGTTAAAGGTACTATCTCCGATAAAAGGTTGTGACTTGCAATCTTCACTCTCACATATTGTACTAAAAAAATATGAGTTCAATAATCAATGTGATGTATGACAGGCAACGTTATATAATACTTCCACGGTTAATGAGATTGTTAATTATACGAACTTAATACTCCTAAGTTTAATACTAATTTTATAATTTAACATAATAACAATAAGTTTTAATATAATAAATCATTTGTAATCTTTAAAGTACTATTAGAAATTCTTAATTACGTCTATTTTCATTAGAAAAATTGTAAAATTTGTTCACAAAAAGTTAACGTATCACTAAATTATTGTTTGATTAACATATTCGGACACATGAACATGCTACCTCATGCATGAAACTCAATCGATGTCCCTCAACAAAATCTAGTTCTTCTTGTTGTATTTCTTAAACAGAATGTTGACCTATCCAAACATGTTAATAAAATAATAATTTAATGTCACACAAACTTTCTCTTTATCAAATTTTAGTAGATTTATTGACGGAAGGACTAATTCACTTAATACATTAAAGATAAAATTTAGATTAAAAACAAACAATATGAGAATTACTTCAAAGATTAAATATGAAATCATTTAATATATATTTAACAGTAGTTCCAAATAATAATCGCAACTAATGACCAGTGATGGTTATAGTGTGCATTATATAGCATTTTTAATATAGGAAAATACCGACTCCTGATCACTTGTAAAAGAGTAACCTTGTCCTTATCATTAATAAATATTAGACAAAACTCATTATTTTTCAAAAAAAAGTTTTTTGTTTTTAATTTCCCTATCTAAATTATTGTCAAATAATTAACGCTGCTAAAAACACAATTCTTCTTTACTAGTGAGGAGCCAAATATTTTTCTTTTTTATAAAATAATTGAGCGAGATTTATTTAACAAATAACAAAATTATTTATTTATTTTTCGAATAAAAACACGATCAAATAATTTAAGCTTTTTAAACCATTTGAATTCTTCTTGTCCCTTTTGAAAATTTTTGTTACTTTGAGATTGATTAATAGGTTCGTAATCCACTGCATTATAGGATATTTAAATAATTGGATTAGTTTTAATTGATTGAATTATTCCTCTTTAAATTGTGTAGAAACGTAAGATTTTTGTCAATGCATTTAATTGATCAATAAGTCAATCTTAACTTAGAAACTGAAATAAAGCAGTAAATATAACATTCCTAATGAGCAAAGTTCAATCGTTTTTAGAATCTTTGTGTTGAGATATAAAGTTTTTTTTTTTTTTGTTTCTTTTGTTTTTTAAAGAGTCATTGTATTGTTGATTTTGTGCTGTTTGGGTTTTTTCTATGACTTGATTAGGTATATTTTGTTGGTTGAATTATATACTTTATTAATTTATTTTAAACAACTTTTTAATTTAATATTTAAGAGATATTATTTCACCATTTATTTAAGTTTAAGTTTCACTTCTTAGAATTATTATAATTTTTTATTTAAATTTAGTCGGTAGGATGGGGATTGAAACTTCAATTTAAAAAGGTAATAAGTTCTTTATCTATTAAATAAATAATTATTAGTTTAAATTATAACACTAATATATATATATTTGTACTAAAAGAAACACTAATATATATATATATATATATATATATATATATATATATAATTAAAAAATGAGACAGAAAAAAGGTGAAAAATAATTATTAAAGCATGGCATACCTAAAACTCTTCGTGGGCACTCCATCCACCACCTTCCCGGCCACAGGCTCCTCACCATAATAGTAACCATCACTACCCATCGGGCACGGCAGCCGGGGCGACCTTTTCCGAGCAGTGGCGACGAAAACTCGAGCGAGCGTCGTGAACGGGCTTCCACGGGGCATATCAAGGCGATAAAAGCGATTTCCGAGCAAGAAAATGGCGAGCCCGATAACATTTGCTGCAAGGCTGATGCCAAAGCCCCAGCCCCAACTCACATTGTCCTCAACATACACGAGGGCCGTGGTGCTGGTAAAAAACGCAGCGTAGAGAGTAAAGAAGAACCAGTTGAAGAAGACGTTTTGATCTTTTACGACGTCGTATTGGTTTGCTCCTAGTGTTGCTAACGTGAAGCGTGAGCCGCCGACTCCAATGGATGCGAGGATTATGCCCAATGACAAGATTGCGTATTGGAGTTTTGAAGAGGAAGGATCATCACCTTGGGGCCTCAAAGAGTTGATTGTTGCTGTTAGTGTTAGCGAAATTATGCCCTGCAACACCAATTTAAAATTGAAATGTAACTCCAACAATATTAATTTATGTGATTACAAGTCGGTTAAAATTTCAAAACTTTTTAAATTTTTTGAAAGTCATAAAAATATCTCTTTTTTTATATTTATCTCTCGTATTACTTAATAATTTAATAATAGCCAGAAAAAAAAGGCGTCGACTCATAAGTACATAAATATTTTTGTTTTATTGTTTTAATTGTATATTTAAATGGTTTGAGAGGTGAGAAAACAAGTTATGAAATAGTTTTTTAATAAAATTTAGGTGCTTACTAGTACGTTAGGATTGTTAAAAACATTAACAACTAAAATAGAATAGTACATAAACGGAGGGATAAAAATAAAATAATAGTTCAACGCTAATTGACATATACCTCAAAACCAAGAGGTTGTGAGTTCGATCCCCTATTCCACATGTTGTATTCAAAAAAAAAAATCGAATAATAGTTGTCAACTTTTTAATAGTGGTTCCTCTTCTTAAGTGTAAGCAACTAAAGTTTTATTGGTAGTTTTTAAAAAAGAAACAATAATATATATTTTAAATACAATATATGAAGTTACTAAAAATTCTTACAATTTTTTAGTATTTTAATCAATTGATATATGCTTTAGTCTTGAAAAAAAAAAAAAACAAAAACCAGTTATTACAAGATTGCCTAAAATTATTGGTCAACGACAACACCGGCCAACAAAAAGCTAGTTACTTACAAGATTGCCTAAAAAAAGCAAACAAAAAGCTAGTTACTTACAATTGATGTCTCATTAAAAGTTTGACTTTGAGTTATTTCACACTTAATGCATTAGCAGCAGAAAGGATATAAGAAAGTTTGAGCTTCTCTATGCCCACCTCTCTGTTTCACTTTAACAGATTTGAAAGCTTAATTTCCAATTTCATTAATTTAAACCACCTTAAAACTACTCGAAATCAAGCCACGAAAATACTTAGATGTTGGACAGTTGAACACCTACCTTATGATTGTCCACGCCATTGAAAACTTCAAATAGAATTGGAAAAACAAATAACAAATTTTCAAAAAATATGAGCTGTCAATTTTTAAATGAAAAATTATTTTTTCCTTAACACTAAGGAGCAATATTGTTCTCACCCTCATTAAATATTTGATAAAGAAAAATACAAAAAATAAAGACCGTTTAAGGAAAATACTTGACTCCTTGACGGCGAGGATCAAATCTTATTCTCACCACTATTGAAAATTTGACAACTTATTATTATTTTTTTTAAATGTCCACGTTTTTGCCTTTCTCACTCTTAGTTATCAAACATTTAAGAGTGATGAAGACAAAATTGGTCCAGACTGTTAAAAAGGAAAATAGGTCTTTAAGGATGAGGATCAAATATTGTCCTCACCACCATTAAAAAGTTACAACTCATTGTTTTAAAAAAAATAAAATAAAATCCATGTTTTTTCATTTCTCACTCTTAATTGTCAAAGAGAGTGAGACAGGTTGCTCCTTTATTGTCAAGGGGTAAGTATTTCATTATAAAAGTTAATGAGTTGTGTCAATTTTTTAAGCGTGGCAAGGACAAGAATCCAATAAACCAATATACATAAAATTGAGCTGTGATTTTCCAATATTGAGAGAGAGGGAGAATTACCAGAAGAGAGATGCAAGAGGAAATTAGGATGACAGAGAAAGAGCCAAGAAAAGAGTCAGCAATAAGAGCTCCGACGACAGGAAATACGCTGCAGCAGCCGTTAACGACGTTGAAAATTAAAGCAGCGTTTATGGCGTTGATGTTGTATTGTTGGATCAAATACAGCATCAAGTTGAAAAGCCATCCCCCGCTGGCCAGCGTCAAGCAACCCACACAGCCTGTATTTCCAATTTCTAATTATTCTTCAACTAACCAACAAACAAATTATGACTGAGAGATCGGCGAGATAGCTTACCTATGATGAAGGGGAAGGTTACCCAACCGCCTTGCTTCCCATGGGATTCTGAAGTTGGAGCTTCTTCTCTAACCATATTTTCTTCGTCTACCAAACTTTATTGGAAGTGAACCCATCTCAGGCTTCACCCTTTGCCACAATTTATATGCCCTGCTGCTCTACTTTTTCTGTTTTGTCCCCACTCTTAATCTGTTCACATCTCTCACCCAAACGCTGCCGTTTTATTTATTGACTTGAGGCTTTAGTTCAATTAGTAGAAGGGTGTTGTTTGAGTGTATGTGTGAATTGGAATAATTGTTAACTATCTGCTGCTTTGTACTCTCTCCATCGGGGTTAGTAGGTGAAGGACTTGTTACTTTGTAACAAATTGTTGTATTTAAATTTTGAATTAGAGCTATGATGTTGATGCGCATAAAATTGAATTGAGAGTGTAATTAGTTTTGTACGACTCTCTTTGGTTTCCGAGATTTGACAAAATTTATAAAATAAAAACAACGCATACCGTGATATGGACGTTCGCCACTCCGATTCTTATGTCATAACTACGTTTGTGTTAAGCATGCCAAGAATTAAAATTTTCTAGTGTCCCTTAATTATGAGACTTTCTTTTCTATTCATAGGGGAAAGAACTTAAGGTCTTTTTGATATCTTCTTCTTCTAAATTTCCAAATATCGGAGACTTGATTAGTCTCCAAAAAGAATCACGAGAACAGATTAGGCTATGGTTCGCCTAAGGACTCGACTTTTTGGATCATTTYTTAGTCCAAAGGCTTTCTTTGATCTAGGCTGGCTTTTATTCGGCTTTCCTATAGTTCGTTCATAAATTGCGGATTTATTTCAATCATAATAGTGCCCCAACTCTAAAACTTAGAGTTCGTGAGTTTTACCTTTGCCTAAATTCAAGCATATGACTCTTATTTTGGAAGTATTGACTCATGGCTCTACTCTTGTAATGACACCTTGATGATTGATTTATAGTTGCTTTTCGCACAGCTATAGCTTAGCCTAAACGGTTTGACGTAGCAATTTTGGAGAAAATAATTCAGGCACACAAGATAATAGGCTCGAATAGTTCACATTCTAACTTAATTAACTGTGTCAAGTAGGAAATTTTTGTTGGAAGCGTGTGATGGAAACTTGCTAATTTAGAATCAACAAGACTCGTTTGAGAATAACAACTTTACTTATATTGAAAAATTTCTCACAAAATACACACTTGGTTCACAAATTCTCTCAAACTCTCTTGTTTTTCTTCTCCACACACTTGCTTGAAATACAACAAATGACCATCCTATTTATAGGACTCCATGGAAAGATCTAGATCCATAAACTCCATCCTATGAATCTATACATACATGAACATACAATTAACTTATCTAAATACATGAATGTACTAGTTCATGTACTGGTATCATGTACCTAAGAATGTATATGAATAATGTATCTAGAATAATATATGTTTAATTTCCAACATCCCCCCTTAAACATGTCTTCCTCATAACTCCAAGTAAATTCCTCAGCTTGTTAAAGACATCAACTTTGAGTGGCTTTGTGAAGATATCCGCAACTTGATCTTCAGTCTTCACATAATCAACCTGAATCTCCTTTCTTGAAATGCATTCTCTGATGAAGTGAGATCTTGTATTAATGTGCTTACTTCGATCATGGAACACTGGATTTTGCTAGAGCAATTGCTGACTTATTGTCCACATGGACCATAGTTGCATCTTCTTGCACAATTCCAATTGCATTCAACAAATTTTTCAACCAAACTGCATGACACACACATGATGATGCAGCAACATATTCTGCCTCACAAGTAGATAGTGTCACAATAGCCTGCTTTTTAGAACTCCATGTAAAAGCAGTATTGCCAATAAAGAACACAAATCCACTTGTGTTTTTTCGATCATTGAGATCTCCAGCCCAATCACCATCACAATAACCTTCAAGTTTGAATTCTCTAGATGAAGAATAAAATAATCTATAATCGAGCGTACCTTTTAGATAACGAAGGATTCTCTTTGCTACTTTCAAATGAGTAGTAGTAGGAGATTCCATAAACCGACTCACCAATCTAACACTGAAAAGAATATCAGGCCTTGTGCATGTCAGATATCTCAAGCTCCCAATTAAGCTTTTAAAATATGAGGGATCAACAGCATCTCCATCTTCATATTTTGACAATTTCATTCCAGTTTCGATCGGAGTAGCAACTGGTTTCGAATTGAACATCTTGAATTTCTCAAGAATTTCTTTAGTGTATCGTTCATGAGAGATAAAAATTCCTTCCTCTGATTGATTCACCTCAATGCCAAGATAATATGACATAAGGCCAATGTCTGTCATCTCAAATTCTTGGATCATTGCCTTCTCAAATTCGTCAAACATGTGTGGATAATTTCCTGTTAAAATCAAGTCATCAACATATAGACAAACCAACAAAATATCTCTATGATCATTAGTCTTTGTATAAAGAGAATGTTCATGTAGGCATCTTAAATACTCATTGTCATGGAAATATTTGTCAATTATGCTATTCCACATCCTTGGAGCGTGTTTCAACCCATACAGTGTCTTCTTTCAACTTTAGAACTTTATCCTCTTGTCCTTTCACCACATAACCAAGAGGTTGTTTTAAATATACTTCTTCTTCAAGATATCCATTCAGAAATGCCAATTTGACATCCATCTGAAAAATCTTTCATCTATTTTGAGCCGCAAGTGCAATCATCAATCTTATGGTCTCCAAGCGAGCAACATGAGCAAATACTTCATCGTAATCAACGCCTTTTCTCTGAGAGTAGCCTTTCGCAACTAATCTTGCTTTATGTCTTTCAACTTTTTCTTTTTCGTTTCTCATTGTCTTGTACAACCATTTGACACCTACTGCTTTCTTTCCACTTGGAAGAGTAGAAAGCTCCCATGTGTCGTTCTTCTTTATAGCCTTTATCTCGTCATCCATTACGTTCTTCCATTTTTCATCTTGTACAACTTCTTCAAAATTTAAAGGTTAACTGTCACCAAATAGACAAAAGAGAGTTAGATCCTTAAAACCGTCATTGAATTCTTCAGTTTCATCATATATGTCCCGCAAACTTCTCATGCGATAAGTCCCTTCACTTGAACTTGATGTAGATGATGAAGGTGTGGTTTGTACTAGCGTGACCGGTGATGGAGGTGGTGTTGATGGAGAAGTAATATCACCAGTTTCATCATTATCTTCTGGAAAAAATAGATACTTGTAGTCTTTTGGTTTATCACTCCAATTCCATGCAACTTTTTCATCAAACACGACATCTCTGTTTACCACCATCTTCTCTGTAGCAAGATTATAAAGCTTGTAGCCTTTAGAGCTTGCATCGTAGCCAACAAAAATATGTTTCTCACTTTTATCATCGAGCTTACTGCGCTTCTGATCTGGTACATGGGCATAGGCAATACTCCAAAAAACTTTCAAATAAGAAATAGATGGCTTTCTTCCAATCCATGCTTCTTGCGGAGTTTTATTCCATACACTTCTAGTGGGAGAACGATTGGACAAATAAATAGCACATTCAATAGCTTGTGCCCAAAACTCTTATGGCATCTTCTTACTCTTCAACATGCTCCGACCCATGTTAAGTATAGTTCTATTCTTCCTCTCGGCAACACCATTTTGCTGTGGTGTCCATGGAACTGTCATAGGCCGACGAATTCCATTTTCTGCACAAAAATCTTTGAATTCATTCGAAGTGAATTCTCTTCCCCTGTCAGATCTCAAGGTTTTTATATGAAGACCACTTTCTTTTTCAACAAGAGCTTTGAATCTCTTGAACATGCCAAATACTTCTAGTTTTTCCTCGACAAAATAAACCCAAGTTTTTCTGCTGAAATCATCAATGAATAATAAGAAATAATTATTCTTACTGAAAGAACTTTGCTTGATAAGACCACAAAGATCAGTGTGAACAAGCTCTAGCGGTCTTTTAGCTCTCGAAGAAGATTCTTGTGGAAAACTCTTTTTTGATTGCTCGCTAAGTAGACATCCTTCACAAAGTTGATATGGATGCTTGACATATGACAATCCTTTCACCATGCCCTTCCTGGCTAATAATCTCAAGCCATCAAAGTTCAAATGCCCAAGTCTTAAATGTCAAATCCGGGATGAATCTTTCAAACACGACTTCAAACATTTTGCAACATCAGTTTGAATGTTTAATGGAAACATTCTATTCTTCGTCATTTGGACTTTAGCAATCATATTGTCACGATGATCTCATATTGAAAGACTATAATCTTTCAAATAAATATTGTAGCCTTTCTCTAAGAGTTGTCCCAAACTCAAAATATTGTTCATATTTGGCACATAATAGACATTAGAGATAAACTCATGCTTCCCATTCTTCAAATTGATCAAAATCTTACCTTTTCCCTTTCCAGGAATTTTTGTAGCATCACCGAATATGATATTGCCACCAACCGATTCATCCAATTCCACAAACATGGATTTACTTCTGCACATGTGGTTGCTTGCACCACTATCAAGATACCACGAACTGTTCTCACATGTTTCTTCATCTCTGCATTCTAAAAGCAATGATGGCTCACTTCATTTAAGATCTTCTTCAGCATAATTGACATTTTCTTCTACTTTTATTTCTGTACTCCCATGAATAATGACTGAATTTATGACAATTATAACATTCAACTCGGCTTTTGTTATACCTCTTGTCATCATTTGACTTTCCTCCATACGACCTCGAACAATTTTGTCTGTCACGACCTCTTGACAAATTGGAGTTGAAATTACTCCCATCAAACTTTCTTTGACCAAAGTTTCCTCGACTACGACCTCTGAAGTCACCACGTCCACGACTTATACCACGACCATGACCTCGATAACCTCTTTCTTGGCTATTTTCTTTATCTTTCATCTGCAACTTTGATTGAAATAGTTGTTTGGTTGTCTGTTTGGTCTTCTTGAAAAGCTTCTGTTCATGGGCTTGCAAAGTACCCATAAGTTGATCAACGGACACTGTACTCAAATCCTTTGATTCTTCAATTGCTACAATGATGAAATTAAAATTTTCATCCAATGAGCGAAGTATCTTTTCAAATACTTGCTCATCATTTATCGTCTCACCATACCACTTCATTTCATTTACCACGGCTAGCAACCTTGAAGTGTAATCTGAAATTGATTCAGACTCCTTCATATGTAATGCTTTATAATCACCTCTCAATTTTTGAAGTCGGACCATCTTGACCCGATCAACTCCTTTATAAGTATTCTAAAAAATTTGCCATGCTTTGCTCCAGAAATCTTCTCAAAATTTGTATCATCAATGGCTTGATGAATAATGGTGAGAGCCTTTTGGTCTTTCTTTCTGGTATTTTGCAAAGTCTCTCGTTGAGCTTGATTCAAAACCACATCCTCTGCTGGTTCTTCATAACCTCTATCAACAATCTCCCATGCATCTTGTGAACCAAGTAAAGCCTTCATACGGATACATCAACTGCAATAATTTTCTTTGGTAAGACGAGACATTTGGAATGGAACCAAATTGTTGTTTGCTATTTGCAAAAAACAATTCTTTTCAAACTCAAGCTATGATACCACTTTGTTGGAAGCGTGTGATGGACACTTGCTAATTTAGAATCAACAAGACTCGTTTGAGAATAAACAACTTTACTTGTATTAAAAATTTTCTCACAAAATACACACTTGGTTCACAAACTCTCTTGTTTTTCTTCTCCACACAGTTGCTTGAAATACAGCAAATGACCATCCTATTTATAGGACTCCATGGAAAGATCTAGATCCATAAACTCCATCTTATGAATCTATACATACATAAACACACAATTAACTTATCTAAATACATGAATGTACTAGTTGATGTACATGTATCATGTACCTAGGAATGTATATGCATAATGGTATCTAGAATAATACATATTTAATTTCCAACAATTTTGCCCCATTGGGTTGGTTTGGGTTGACCGGCTAAGTCACAAGCTCCCTTTAATAGAGCTCGAACTATGGGTTGCTCAACCCATGGGACTCGACCTTATGGGTTTGGCTGTATAAGCCTATGCCCACAAACTTGACTTACGTTGCTTGGCCCACATGTTGGATCTTTGGTGGTTCCTACCCAAGGGCTTGATCTTTCAGGTTGTTCCTAAGCCCAAGGATCTTTGATGATCTAGTCCAAGTTACTCGGCTTTGGTGCGACCAAGATTCTTACCAGCTTTATTTGATCCGCTTAGTTCATACAGCCGATGGGACGACCAAAAAGTTCTTCTCAAGTTTACTTTGGTCGGTTAAGCTTGTAGAGCCTCACACAACCAAGTATTTATTATTGTACCTCTACCTTTTAAGGTGAGAGTAAGTGTAAGTGTACAACATCAAACAATTAATATATGGGATATTCCAAGATTGTTCTCCACAGGAACTATATATGATGATTCAATTTTAACGTAATTGCTTGTACAAAATCCAAGTTATTACCAAGTGAATCAATATAGGTTTTTAGATAAAATAATAGATACAAAGGAAGGAATAAACTAACGAGAATTGAGAAAAAGAATATGGAAATGACTCAAAATTGTGATGTCATTCATAAAACAACAACATAAATACAACAGCAAAGTGCCCATTTCATTTTCATGTAGTAAACAAGATTCAACTCTTATTCCAGGTTTATTTTAATCTATTTAGGAGTTCAGGAAGTTGATCTCAGACGTATATGGTCAAACTGATCCTCATCAATGAAGCATGCAATCTTTAGTTTTATAGGAAATCATCTTTATGTCTAGGGTCAACTTGCATGTGTTTATGCCTAAACTACACTCTTATATATATTACTTTCATGAAACTCGTTATATTTTAACATTTTCTGATACAGAATTGAGTAATCATGGAGAGCACAAGGAAAATCTACAAGAGGAGCAAGCTCAAATCAGGTCAAATGAAGCCTACAAGAAGGATTGAACCCAATCATGAGCCAATCATTATGCCACAAAGGTCCAATCACAAGAGCTAGAGCTAAAAGATTACAAGAAGGATTGAATGGTCACTTCCAAGCTAAGATGCTCACATTTTGTGAAGGGTTGCATCTTCAAGCTTGAAAARACATATTGTCCTCCAAGAAACTGTATGAATCTAAAAATCCCAATTCGTTCACATATTTAATGCATTGTATATATTTCAAATCCATGAATTTTCATTTAAAAGGGTTCATTAATAGATTTAAAAGGGTGGTGGCTGAATTTGGACTAATTAGGCCAAGAGTTGTGTCTTTTCATTGTGTCTTTTCAATTATTACAAATAGAGATGTACATTTGCTTTTCAAACACAACATTTGATGAATGAAATTTTAGATTGAGTTTAATCTCTCTCAAGCTTTAAACTTTCTTTGTCATCTTGTATTTAGAATGCGTGTTTAGAACTTTCAATCTAGTTTGATCAATTAGGCTGTGGAGAGTTCGAAATCTTGAATATAGGAACAAGTTCTCCTTTATTCTCATCTTTCATCATATCTTTCCAAGCATAAATTTGTTTAACTTTTTTTGGGTTGGTTTATCGTCTAGTATTTTTGGGGTTATTCTTATTATTATTTTGGGAGTTCACCTTGAATAAGGGAGTTCTCAAGTATAATTTAGATAGTTCCTTTATCATTTGGTATCAGAGCTTAGACTCTAAGCAAATTATATCTTTGTTCTCTTTCAATTGTTCTTCATCTTTCTTTCTTTATACTTCCAACCATATATAATTCCATTTTGTGTGACTCTTCAACTTCTCATATTCGCTTCATTTTTTTCTTTTGTGTTTGCTTAAAAAAAAAAAAAGAAAACAAAAGTGACTTGTCATATTCTTTTGATTCACACCATTTCACTCATATCTCTTTCTTTTCCATTCTATTTTTCTTGTTTAAAAAAAAATCTATCATTGTTTCTTAAATTTGAGATTTTGTGACTTTTCACATTATAGGTTTTATTGAACTGTTCTTATATGATCCTACTAAGAATACTATAAGAGTTGTTGAAGTTTGAGACATTAAAAGTCATAATGTTTTGTATTGGAATGTGCTTTATGTTTGTTTTAATATTGTTGTTGGAGCTTGAGATTTTGATGTTGTAGTTGGAGGGGGTGAGTGTGCATTCGAAGGGTACATTGACTTTGTATGGAGTTTGTTGTTGTGTTCCACTAATTATGTTTTTGTTTTCCATGTGAAGTTTGTTGTTGGAGCATGATATTTATGTTTTTGTCTTCCATATGAATGTGAAGTTTGTTTTTGGAGATTGAACTTCTAAACGTGTCTTATGTTTGTTGTTGGAGCTTGAAACTTTTCAATATGTCTTATGTTTGTAGTTGGAGCTTAAAACTTTTGTATGTGGAGTCTGTTATTAGAGCTTGTGAATTATGTTTTTGTCTTCCATGTAAAGTTTGTTGGAGATTTAACTTTTGAATGTTGTTTGGGGATGAAATATTTGATTCCCACGTGGAGGACGGGGACTCATCGCTGAAAGAAGATCCGAAGAGGGCAGATTTATGGAGCTCCATCTCGGATTCTTCTGAGATGGAAGACTTGTCATTTCCAATCAATTTACGACTTGTCATTTTCAGGAAAGTGTCCGAGTTCGATCTGCTCGAACCCGACACGACCGACCTCGAATCCGACTAAGGTAAACGCCTGTTGGAATCCCTGTCGGAACCTAAACCTATAAATAGAGGGCTTCATTTCACCATCAAGTATCTAATTTCTCTTCGAACTTAATATTGAGTCCAAGCTGCTTACTGTCTTGAGCGTCGAAGATTTTTGCCCTCTTGTGTAGGTCTTCCCTTAAAGTTTCGGGTCGGAGCAAGGACCGGGTTCCAGCTAATTCGAGGAAGTGCAATTTCTTGCATAAACATTTGGCACCGTTTGTGGGAAGGACATTGCAAGTCGTCCCAACAACTAAAATAGCCCAATTCGATATGGTTCATCCAACAGATTCTGCGAATACCACTAAACGGAGGGCTCTGAATGCGAATAATGGCGCTTAGAGAGAGATTGACGCCAAATTGGCTGAAGAACAAGTCAAGGTCGGGCAAGAGGTGGAGCCACCTCGGAGGTCCATCCACAACACTAACACTGTCTTGCCCCGACTCACCCGAGGCCTAGTAAGGCCAACCGGGGTCGAG